TTTTGGAAAGTAGCCATACTGTAAACAATAACCAATAATGTGGGTAATATGATGCATTTTCCTTTGGGGTTTGGTTCCGGTTCTAGTTAACCAAATTAGAACCAACCATATTCCTTTCATAAACAATGACGTCACTTATAACCATTTGGTTAACATTTTTGAACCAGCCTCGCGAGTCGGTTCTAATTTGCGGTATGTTCTATCCTTATTTAAATAGTATTCTTCTCATTGTCTAACTTTTTAAATTTAGTTTTCCCGCGGAACCTAAATAGTTCCGTACGAGGTCAACTAAGAAAATAGATCTTACTAGACGCTTTTCTTATAAATATGAATAAGGAAAAAAGAACTTAGACAATAATCTTAATAAAATTAAAATATAGTGATCGACTAAACTTCCTATTCCTAGAAATGTTTAGTATTCGAGATGAAATCTTCAAGGGCGTGTGTGTGTTTATTTTAACACCATTAAGATTAATAGTCTTGGACTGAAATGAGATTCAAAAAATGTGCCACTATTTTTCAAAAGAAGATTATCATTGTGTTTATCGCTAGAAAAAGGTCTGTATCGTTCGTTAAATGCTTTGTCGGTAGTGTCGGTTTTATTTCTATTTTATTTTAAAGAGTTTTAAATTAGTTAGTATTATTTTCGTCTGTTAATTGCCCTGTAGGTAGTGTCTATTTTATTTATATTTTATTTTTATATTAGTTAATATTTTTTCTTCTATATCATATAGCTTTAGTGTTTTCTTTGGCAAATAACTAACTACACAAAAAAATTAAAAATAAAATTGAGAACTAACTTTAAAAATGAGTCACACGTGGTATTTAAATTTACACCAAAATGATATATGACTGACCGAACCAATAACCCAATTCATTCCATAGACCTTTTCATCACAATTTTTTTTTGTGCGCATGCGTCAGTTTCAGCCATCTTTTTCGTACTGTTTTTGTAAACAAGTATGTTAAAATGCTTACGTGAAAAAAATTATAATTGATAAATATTAATTTAAGTCTATATTCTTTAAAAAAAGAAAGAAAAAAGTAAAGTAATAATAAGTTTAGTGTCTTAAGTGAAAAATACATTTTCACAGTCAATTATAATTATGTTATCTGTACGGAAAGGAACAACGAAACAGTGTTGCTATGTAAAAGTGACACACGGTATAAATCATTCAAAGGCAATAGATATTATTTTATAAATTTTCCAAAGCCTTAACTGCAATATCGTAAACAATTATCAGGCAAAATCCATATTAAAAGATATTTGAAATGTGCATTAAGTGTGAAAAAATATGGCCGAAGTGACAACGGTTTTCGATGGATTAATTATTTCACTAAAGATACTTATATTTCACTGCATTTTCATGGAGAAAGTGGTCCAACAGAAGAAAATTCTCACCTGGTATTAAACAATATTTTTTTAATAATAAATACTACTTCGGTATACACATTAAATGATTAAAAATGTCATGTTGATCCTCAAAATAATAAATAATTTATTTTATTAATTATACTCGTGATTAACTTTCATGCATGCTAATTAAAGTGTTTTTGCAAGTAGTAATAGTTGGTTGGCATAATTAATTAGAATAAAGTTATAATTATTATTTGTTTTCATTAATTTTTTACAGAGTTAAAAAGTATTGATACACCTAACGTCTCAATTAGTCCACTTTGTTCCTTTGTAACAAACATCCAAGACACTTCAACCTCCTTTTCAACTGCTCACAACTATGCCCTTCCACAGAGTTATAAAAAAGTTATTCACTATCAACGATTTTTTCTAATGATTAATTTTTCTTTAGAGATAACATTGCTTTTCCAGCCATTGTCGATCAAAACAGTACGAAACTTTTGAATTGCCGCTATTTCAACATGGTGGCTGCGCTTGCGCTCATCACATGATGAAAAGGTCTATTGGCTTTTGTTATGACGTCATCCATATGAACCAAAATCTGAACCGCTGTCAAAAATACTGTCAATTTAACGTCAACCATAACCAGAACCATACGTCAAAGGAAAACGACTATGATCTAGGATCGTCGGCATAGTCAGCTTGATCATATAAAGTGATACTTCATCATTACCAGCAGCATTTGATTTAATCGAATTTATAACTTTGAGAATTGTATTCTGATCCACTGGAGTTAGTGTTAGTTTGTTATTGTTAAATTTATTATTCAAGTAAAAATGTATTTTCTGCAAACAGTTATCAGATTTCTTGAAGACACTAATAAAATAGTCATTGATATCATTAGGGTCACGTAAATTAAAAGGTAACTCTTTATTAGCGGTAGAACATTTAATATTCATGTTACTTAAACCCTGCCATAAAGCTTGCTCATTTTGTTCATTTTGAAGTTTATTCAGATAGGCCGCCTTTTCTCTTCTAATAGAGGCAAGAGCAAAATTACGACATTCCTTGTAGTAATTTATTTATTTTGTAATAAACAATTTATTATTATTATATTTAATTCCAATTTTGAGGAGTTTTCCCAGATTTAAATTTTGTTTTAACAAGCTTAGCTTTAGCTTGCTCTTTAAGAATTAATTTTAAATTATTAGTTAGTCAAGGTGCTTGCTGACTCTAATAGTTTTAAGTGGAGCATGAATATTAAAAATTGAAATTATGTTATCTGTAAGAAATCTAAACTTATCATTAATATTGTTAATTAAGTATATATCATCCCAAGTTATTGAAAGTAAATCTTGTTTAAATTCATTAAGGTTTAGATTTTTAAAATCACGTAAAGTAATAAATTTTTGTTTTGGCTTGTTTACTGTAATATTTAGGGTACAAAAGGGCATTACGTTGTGGTCGCCTAAATCCGATATTATATTTCCACTTTCTCTACAAAAGTTACCGTTAGTAAATATGGGATCTAATAATGTGGCAGAGCTTGCTGCAATTCGCGTCAGTTCATTAACATGGTTAATATACACATAAGTCTCAAATAAATTGAGTAGTGTGTTGGGTACTAACATGTTTACATTAAAGTCACCAGTTACAATAGAATAATCGTATTCAGTAAGCAATATAGGGAGAATATCATTAATAAAGAACTGAAATTCAACAAGACTCGAATCTGGAGGGCGATAGATTACCGCCTAAGCCAAATTTAAAGTTTTAATTCTAAATTTTTATAAAAGATATTCAAAGTTCCAATTGTTATTTGAATCATAATTAATGAGTTCACAATTTAAATTTGATGTTATATAGCAGCCTACACCACCTCCCGCCCTGTTTGTCCTATGCTTTCCATAAAATTTAAAACCAGGCAAAACGACGTAATCGGTCGGTGATTTGTAGATTTTGTATGATCGGTGTTTACTTTTGGTATGGTAATGATGACACCTTTCTTCCATTCATGAGGAAAGTATTGATTTTGTAGGCAATAATTATGAGTAGACTTGAGATGTATTAAATAAATATGTGTTGCTATTTATATATAGTAGGTTTTCATATAATACAGCTGAGAAAATTGTCATGATTTTAAGCTGTTTGAACAGTGGTACACAGTGACTTCTAAAGTCCCTTTGTAAATTACTAAAAGATGTTTTACCCCATCCTAAGATACCATATGTTAGGTTAGAGTCGAATAATCCAAAATAAGTTTACAGGGCTGTTTCAATGTTGGAGGAGTATGAAATTCTTCGAATGGCATAAACAGTTTTTGAGAGTTTATTGCAGAGTGCATCAATATGTTAGTTCCAGGTTGGACGAGAATCTATATGTACCCCTAAAAATTTGATGCTGTTTTTATCAGAGTTTGATGAAAATTGGAAGGTGCAAACTTCAGTTTTGACCGAGTTCATGAACAATTCATTGTGGTCAAACCATTTCTTTGCTGTTTCCATTACTTCTTCATTGAATTTGGTGTTGTGAAATTTATCACAGTACGAGAAGTTAATTGTCATATGCGTACATTGTTGCCAATAGATTCCGAAAGTGTGATTTCATGTAGACTCGAAGATCATTTGTGTAGATAATGAAGAGAAGAGTATATGTAACGTCCATAGGGATCTAAGGGACACCTCTCTTTATCATATCACCATATTAATTGCTGTATACACTCTGTTGTCTACCCCTGAGCTACTGAAGCAATTAAGTCATTTGCAATTCCTCTTATGCCATAAGAACTAAGTTTTTCGCCTAGTTTTGCATGGTTAACACAGTCAAAAACTTTGGAAAAATCTGTTTGTAGAGTAATACAATTGTCTTTCTTTTCAAAAGCATCTTGTATATTGTTTATGAGAGACATAATTGCATCAGAAGTTTTCTTTCCTTTTCTGAATCCATATTGTTCTTTAGCGAAAAGGTCACAGTTTTCAAAGTACTGCGCTAATTGATTAGCTATAACATTATCGACAATTTTGGAAAAAGCTGGTAAGATATGGATTTGTCTATAGTTTTCTGGCAGAGTAGCATCCTCCTTTTTACTTTCCTATCTGTATACAGATAAGGAAAGTATAGGAATCATGATTTTTTCGACCTTGAGTTTTTGACGTTTTTTTACGTTTTGGGGTCACCTGAATCCGTTTTGACTATTTTCGCGATGATGTATGTGTAGTGTATGTGTTGATACTATACATGTCTTTTTAGATTTTATTTTTTTTATTATTTCAGCGATGTCATATTCACTGACCGGATTAAAACAGCATGAGTTTGATCTTTTATTTTTCTGTATAGTTAATAAAAAACTCATTGAAAAAAATCACATCTATGATGTTATCTGTAGTGTGATCTTTAGTCCCTCCTAGTTCCCTATTAATTAATTACTACACTTCTATCAAGTAATAAGTAGTTTTCAACATCTGCAATAAAAAATAGTTCCAACTTGGAAAGACATATTTTTGAATTTTGACTATAATCTGCAATTTTTTTTCCAAGAATCTAACTTTACTTAAAACATATGTCAAATCTGTAATTTTGTGATATGTCACCAATATGGTTAACTATTCTATTTTCATTTATTTCTATCTTAATTTAGATATACCTTTATTGTTAAGTTCATTCTTGACTTGAGTTAAAATGGGAGCCAATTTTTTGTTGACTTTGCCTTCTGATAAAAAATTACTTTCCATCTCTCTTGCTACTAAATATTCTGAAAATTTCATGACTACTGTTTCAAATTGTACAGTTCTGGCATCACTATCACAGACAAAGCATAAATTAAAGTGGAATGCATTTCTAACATATTTATCCTTATCATCAATTCTTACTGGAAACCCCAGTATTTTATAATCATGGAGGGTCCTAAAATTAAAAAAATGTTGATAATGTAGGTAGTTGTTTATGTATTGAAAAATATATCAATTATATTTTATTGCACAAGTATAATTCCTACACTGTAATAACACTTCTTTGTAACTCTGCCTTTGTTATAATGTAAACGCTTATACTATCGAATAATTCCTTAGATATATAATTTTCTGGGACCTAAAAACAATTTTAGTGTGAAAGATGTAGTAACAGCAGTAGCAAGAAATTACTTGGCAAGATATCATAGGACCTGCAGTATGATGAAATTCACAAAAAAATATACAACGAATTGGACCTTCTTTCCTAGCACCGTCTCGTTTTGATTTTAAATTCATTTTAAAGAATTGAAAAACTATATATTTAAATTTGTAAACACTTGTCAGAATGGACAAAAATCCTGGCTGTTGACTGTTATTGTAAGTAAATTACGTCCATTTTTCAACTAAACGAATCGAAAAAAAAAAATTAAAAATAGAAAACAGCTACTGGACCTAATAACATCACTAGAATCTTTGTTGTCACAAACCTCTTTTGTTGTTTTTGCCAATTTAAAGTTACGAGATTTGGATTGCCTAATTTAATTATATATTATAATTTTTGCCAGTTTTCAACTAAAAACACTGAAAAAACTTTATTTAACTTAAAAAAAAGCTTAACTAATAACCTCACTTCTTTCTAGAAATGTCACCACCACAAAGCACCAGTGTTGCCAGAATATATTTTTGTAATGTAGCAGATTTGTCTAAAAAATGTACCAGATTACATAAAAATGTACTAGATTATATAAAATTACCAGATTTTCTAATTGTGAAGTGTGGTCAATAAAGAGCAAAAAAAAGGTTTATAGACAATACGAACACAACAATTTTATGCAATATTTTATCTTTCGACAAATTTCTGACACTATTTTATCTCTCGAGCAATTTTTGAAAAAGATTTTAATACCTTATAATACTATTTTATCTCTCTAACAATTTTTAAACCTTTTTTTATCTCTTGAGCTATTTTTAAGTAATATTTTATCTTTAGATAAATTTCTAACATTATTCTATCTCTCGAGCAATTTTTAACAACTTTTTTTATCTCTCGAGCAATTTGTACAATATTTTATCTCTCGAGTAATTTCTAAAAGTATTTTATAGTTCGAGGAATTTTTAAACAATGTTTTATCTCTCTAGAAATTTCTAACAGTATCTCTCGAGTTAATTTTAAACAATATTTTATTAACAAATTTTTCAATTTTTTAAAACAAGGTATTAACATTTTGTAATACTACACCTTACCTCGAGCAATTTTTGAACACGATTTTATCAATTTCTAATACTATTTAATCTCTCGTACAATTTTAAATATTTTTTATTTCTCATTAAATTTCTAACAGTAGGTATTTTTATCCCTAGAGCAATTTTTGAACAATATTTTACCCCTCAAGCAATTTCTAATACTATTTTATCCTTCGATCAATTTTTAACACCCTTTTTTACCTTTCAAGCTATTTTTAAATAATATTTGATCTCTCGTGCAATTTTTGAACAATGTTTTATCTCTCTAGAAATGTCTACTATTTTATCTCTGAAGCAATTTCTTTGGCAATTTTTGAACAATATATTTTACATTTCAAATGGAACATACGCTGAAAAAAGTACTAGATTTTAATTCGAGTGTACTAGAGTACCAGATTCTCAGAGAATGTACTAGATCTAGTACAATTGTACTAGACTGGCAACACTGCAAAGCACATTTTAGGTTATTTCGTTCGCTGTTGGTGCAGTGTCCACCAGTGTAAATTACACCAGTTACACCACCTCATTTACCTTAGTTTACTTCCCTCCTTATTCCTTATACACATTTCGAGTGTAATTCACTCCTGCTAAATAGCTGGGGGGCTATTTTCAAAGTATGGGAGTACTCATTTCTCTCAAGATTCTCATCAGAAATGTCATATGTCAATGTAGAAACCCTGTTTTTAAAGGCCTCAAGGATTAAAATTCTTAGGAGGATATTAATTATCTTTAAATAAACCGTGAGAAACAATCAGTGAGTTCACACTGGCCCTTAGGACCCTAAAAATTACTGTTTTACGTTGACGTATGACATTTCTCTCGAGAGAAATGAATTCTCTCGACTTTGAAAATAGCCCCCCTGGGGGGCTATTTTCAAAGTATGGGTGCACTCATTTCTCTCAAGATTCTCATCAGAAATGTCATACGTCAATGTGGAAACGCTGTATTTAAAGACATCGAGGATTAAAATTCTCCTAAGAATTTTAATTATCTCTAAATAAACCGAGAGAAACAGTCAGTGAGTTCACACTGGCCCTAAAAATACGGTTTTACGTTGACGTATGACATTTCTCTTGATGGAAATGAATTCTCTCGAGTTTGAAAATAGCCCCCCAGGGGACCTATTTTCAAACTGTGTGAGTACTCATTTCTCTCAAGATTCTCATCAGAAATGTCATACGTCAATGTGGAAATGTTGTTTTTAAAGGCCTCGAGGATTAAAATTCTTAGGAGGATATTAATTATCTCTAAATAAACCGTGAGAAACAATCAGTGAGTTTACACTGGCCCTTAGGACCCTAAAAATACTGTTTTACGTTGACGTATGACATTTCTCTCGAGAGAAATGAATTCTCTCGACTTTGAAAATAGCACCCCAGGGGGGCTATTTTCAAAGTATGGGAGCACTCATTTCTCTCAAGATTCTCATCAGAAATGTCATACGTCAATGTGGAAATGTTGTTTTTAAAGGCATCGAGGATTAAAATTCTTAGGAAGATTTTAATTATCTCTAAATAAACCGAGAGAAACAGTCAGTGAGTTCACACTGGCCCTAAGAGCCCTAAAAATACGGTTTTACGTTGACGTATGACATTTCTCTTGAGAGAAATGAATTCTCTCGAATTTGAAAATAGCCCCCCAGGGGTGCTATTTTCAAACTCGAGAGAAAGGAGTGCTCTATTGAGAGAAAGGAGTGCTCTATCGAGAGAAAGGAGTATGTGAATCCATATGATGAACCCGTATTTTCAAACAACCAATAGAATGGGGTGTTGCCAAACTTCATTAGAACACATGAACTACACTAGTGTATGTTAGGCAAAAATTTCTTTAAAAGAAAAGAAGATTGAACTATTTTTGTTCTGATCGTAATATGAAAATGAAGAGCACCACAATTAAGTGTTCTGTGACTTGTGAAGAACACATACCTTTTATTTTTTAAAGCAATTTGAGTTGGAGTTTGATCATAGTTTGATAGTTTTTTTTTATTATAATAGTTTATTTAGCCAATTAACAATGGATCAAAAACAACATATAATTCAGGAGCAAAAAAACGTAATGCTTGAATTTTTAAAAAAGCATACAGAGCTAAATAATGGAAAATTTACAAATGAATTTACATATAAGGTGGCCCAATGTTTGTGGGAACAATTAACACTAGTATTAAACGGTATAGATAACGGAGCCAGAAAGAATTGGAAACAATGGAGAAAGGTAACATGTCGGCAAATAGGTGTAAATTGACATTCATCTTTAAGGTTCAACCCTGATTTAAGTAAAACTTTCCATCCCAAATATAAATGAAATTGCTCATTTTAGAGGTATTTTTTTATTGTTTTTTTAAACAGCGTTTCAGGATAACACTTTTACTTTAATCAAGTTGCACCTAATGGCAAGTCCAATCAGGGAGACAGTTTATTTACCATTACTAATTTTGCTTAATATGGTGTATTATAATAACTTAGCTAAATAGCAATAAGCACTATGAAGACCAGTCTTCATAATATGCATACATACAAACGTCATTCAGAGGCAGATTTTATTTGTATAATTCCTTACATATTTGTTTTTTAGACATGGCAGGATATGAAGAAAAATGTTAAGGCGAAGAAAACTAAACTTCGAATCCACTCAAGTGCCACTGGTGGAGGGGGACCAAGTGCAATTAAATTTGATGGAATAGACAGTGAAATTTTAACATTTATGTCGGAAAGTGTAATACATGGACAAAGTGACATTGAGGAATCCAATGCAACTTTTGATTTTAACATACCAACAAACAATAATTGTGAAGTAGAGGTACAAGAAATTGAAGGAGTTGAGCAGCCCCTTAACCCTACTCACACACACACTCGAGAAACTGTGAGTAGAGAGACAGAAGTAAGTAAACAATATTAATAGTTTGAATAAGGATAATTTTCTGAACGTAGTAGAATTTTATATAAATAAAAAGTTCACTGGTTTATTCAGTTGTTTTTATAAAAAAAATCTAATTTAAATACACCTTCATATGCTGTAAAACAAAAAGACGGGATTTATGTTATTTTAAAATGTTTATAATCGTCCCCATTTTTTATTAAATATTGACAGACACTAGAAGATGGAACTGTTTCCTAAACAATTTAGTGTCTCTACTTAAATTTTATAAAAACGACCTAATAAAATAGTGATCTTTTTATTTATATAAAAAATTAATAGTTTTTTTAAAAATCATTGTTTTGTCCACATTAGCCATTTTTGTCATGGATATTTTGCTCCCATTACTTGCAAAATTGTTCTAATTTGTTCTATTTAGAAAATTAATTGTTAATTATTTTGTAGGTTGAATTACCGGATGACCACACATACAATTTGGATTACCCAATCAGGCAACCAAAAAAACCAATAAAATTTACTAGAACCAGAAGGCTGGAAAATTCACTCAAACTTTCTCAAAATTTATCAAAATCTGTAGAGAAAAGAAACTATGTGTTAGAAAACTACTATGAAGAAAAGACAGCTTATTTAAAACATAAGAAACGCATAGACGAGGAAGGATTAAAACTAAAAAAAGATAAGTTAATTGTTAAAAAGGAAGAAGTTGATGTTCAAAGAGAAATTTTAACAACTTTGAAGAACATTGAACAGCATTTTTTGAAATAAACATTCATTTTATTTTTGCAGGAGTATTTTTTTTTGTCTATGGGTTTAAGTATTTATTTTTTCTTTTCTATTTTAAGAATTTATCTTTGTTTTAAAATGTTTTTATTTTTTCCTTTGTATTTTAAGAATTTATTTTTGTTTTCTATTGTTTTTAAGAAAAGCTATTATTGTTACCTGAATGTTTTTATTTTTAAGTATTTATTTTTTTCCCTTTGTATTTAAAGAATTTATTTTTGTTTCCAAATGATTTTGATAATTTATATTTTGTTTCTAAGTGTTTTTGACAAAAATTATATTTTATTAATTTGACTTGAGTTTTTTTTTGTTTATAATAATTATAAAATTTACTACATAAATTGATAAATGAAGATACTTTTGGACTTACCTCGATTATAGGTATCTTTTACACCCATTGGTTTCTGATCTGATCTTTGATTTTTTTTTTTAATAAATAGAAATTAAAAAGATGTATCAAGTTTATGTAAGAAATACATGTCAATAAATAATACAAATAAATATAAAAACTAGGAAATGCTCTAAAAATAATTATTAATAATTTCGTTTCTTATGGCACGTCCTCTTAACAAGTCTGGGTTAACTCTACCCATTTCATTGTCATCATTAAACCGAATGTTTATTTCATGCATGGCTTCTATTTCAACATCTTCCTGTGGCAATGGAATGTTATTCTCAATACACATGTTATGGAGAACAATGCATGCATTTACAATTTTTGAGACTCTCTGTGGCTCATAATGTAACATTCTTTGTTTAATCAAGC